TATATAAAACAATAAAATAATCTTAATAACAAAACTAACATACACTTGTATTCTATTTTGTCTTTTGCATATTCATTAAACATAATATAAAGGATTGTAACCAATGTTTACCATACTTAAATCCATTCACATTAACAACCGACTTGCCAAAAACCAAGACACACAATTTTAAGGAAAAGCGAAAAGAAAACTTTGTTTTTCTGTTTTTAAATTAAAGGCGTTTGTTATATGGCAAGATTGCCGGTTTGCATTTTATTTGGAATTCCTGATTTGAAAGATATTATTGGTAGCAAATTTTTAAGCAAGTATGGAAAATAGACTGGTTTTAGAACTATGTGAATTAACGTGTTCAAGATGGGAATGCTCCCATCAGTAATGAAATGTCACATACTTTTCTGTTTTAATCTTCAATAAAAAGAACACTTAGTTGGAATATGTTGCACACGATGATGAAATGTTTTTATAATAATTGTGTCATTTAAATGCTTTAGGAGGAATTGTATTACCGCACCTTTAACACACACACAGGTGTAAGTCAATGAGGTCACATTTGTCATAAAATGAATTCTGAAACTAAGTTTGCCTGATTTAAGCTTCCTATACCCATTTTTTTTATTTATCTTTTTTTTTTTAAATTCCAAGCGGGCCGACGCTAATGTTAAATCTCCATAGGGGTTGACCTTTTGTTTATTATTATGTATTGCTTGTTCGTTATAGTTACTTTCTTATTCTGTATTATTTATAACTTGTTCGTAATCATGATTTGTTTATTATTCATTATTCATTATTTATAACTTCCTCGTCATTAAAACACGTGCCTTAGTATTATCACTTGCTCAAAATTATTTATTACATGTAAACCATTCATTAGGTGTTCATCATAATGTCGTATGATCTTGAGTAATGGCGATGCGGTTCTGTTTTTTTCTATTTGACTTTACTGCAGTAGCTGATAAAAGTGGAATATATCGCTAGGAGATATTAACTTAATCAGCGCGAAATTTACAGGAACACCACAGACACACTCAGAAACCAGCAATGCTAAAGCGATAATTTCCGAACCACGAATGGGGTCAAATCGTGAAATATTCTACACGCGAAACTTTCCACTGATTCAAGCTGAATGATTCGTCAACAAATGCATATGGAACTACAGATGCTACACTATGTAATATCACACAAAAATCACAACACCAAATACAAATTTCGGAGGCGTTTATTGGCAGGAAAGTTAAAATTGTAATGTATATAATGGTCCCGTTGATGTATAAACACGAACAGAAAAGATTAACGTGATCATCGTCGGATATCCACACATTATCCTCTTTCGCGATCGGTAGCATTAAAGTTAACACTAAAATCACGTAAAACCATATCCCATGTGACAGCAAATTGATGTTGATGTCAAAATGTAAACAAACTTGTACTTCATACGAAATGTGAAATCAACAATTATATATGTGTAAGACCGATAAGGTTTTATGACGTACCCATACAGAAACAGATAAAACTTCATTTCATAGCAAATGAAATGTGAAATAAAGTCTTATTTGACAAGCAATGAAATATAATCATATTTTGAAATGGACACGAGATAATAGTTCTCGAGGCTGGGTGTAAATAACACACATATTTAGGGGCAGGTAAGGCACAACTATATAATGGCAGTTAAAACAACACACACGGACCATAAGGTCAAGTCTGAAAGCTGAACTCTGATGTACACAAACATTAATATGATAACATGTGCATATGAAATTAACAATATTCTTCATTGTGGTAACTGTACATGTGATAAATCTAATTTTCTTGGCCAAATCATGAAATTATCCTTGATGAAATTAAATCGAAGATAATTCAACTGACCGAAGCATAAATTTCGAGACTGATGATAAACATACAATATTCGGCCGATATGATAATCAGCTTAAACTACGTCCAAAAATATAAAAAGTGAACAAAACGCCATGAAAATACACCGTATTCAAAATTAAAACCAGCATGCACATTCCTTAAATTACAAAATATTTACATGAAAGCGTGTTCAACTAAATCAGTGATCTCAATGTGCTGATAATGGTGGTAGCTTTAAGGTAACGTATTGGAGGGAGAACAAGAACAGTGAAGTCTGGCTCACCGAGGAGATTCGGACCGGATATAATAAACAAATAGGTGACCAATGCCTCATTGTCGGCAACCAATGGCTGACGAACTATTGAGATACAATGAGAGACAGATTTCAGGCGAGTCGACACTATACATACCTGGGGCGAGGCTAGAGTTTGAAGTGCTAAGAGAAGTTTCACATATAAATCTATTGAATTGTCATATATAAACGGTGCCTACAGTAGATCGAATCCTCATGATAAGGCTCTACTTCTATTATGGTTCCACTATGATATAAGGAACAGTTCTTGTTACCGTTTCTCTGTGATATAAGGAACAGTTCTTGTTACCGTTTCCCTGCGATATAAGAAAGTTCTTGATACCGTTTCTCTGTGATATAAGGAACAATTCTTGTTACCGTTTCCCTGTGATATAAGAGAGTTCTTGTTACCGTTTTTCTGTGATATAAGGAACAATGCTTGTTACCGTTTCTCTGTGATATAAGGAACAGTGTTCTTGTTACTGTTTCTCTGTGATATTAGGAATAGTGTTCTTGTTACCGTTTCTCTGTGATATAAGGAACAGTATTCTTGTAACCGTTTCTCTATGATATAAGTAACATTGTTTTATTAGGATATAATTCCATTGTATTGGTACCAAATTCAGTTAAAATCATATTACAGAAAATGTGAACTTGAATTCGCCCATAGCTGATGATTACTTGAACATGTACGTACTGTAAGTATACCTTTGACAGAAGGAAATGACGAGCAACATATTTTGTGAAAAATATTGAAGAGAACACATTAATAGTGTATGACAATTTTGTAAGTAAATCATTACATGTGCATATTTGATTTGTGGCAAGATGTTTTGATATATCAAAACATTAGTAGCTGCTCATGTGGATAAAAAAACACATAAAAAATGATATCTTAATACACAAAATATGTCATTTCCTGTTTTCTATCATCGTGGTTGTTTTAATGCCAGATGGTTATCGGGGGATTAAAATGATTGCTTTTTTCTCCCCTAAGACTATGAGGCATTAGTTTATCGACTTTTGGAACAGCTTTGTCATTACATTCGAGATTGTTTCATGTCGGGTGGGAGGAAGTGTCTAGTGCCCATTTTATATCTGTCTTTATAGAAAACACAATTAAAACATCAACTTTGATGTGTCATGTATATACTTGATCCTGGGATTGCTGACCAGTGGAATATGTACAATAGCTTACATCCCTAGCAGTGCAAGAAGCATCACATGGTAATAGAATTTGATTACCATGGGAACGTTTGTCATTTATGGTCTTCACTATTACAGTAGTGAGAGTCTGTAAATACTTGCTGGGGGTGTATAATACAATACATTTACGGACCTGAAACAAATGATAGTTACATTTCTGAGACAAATAAATATTGCTGGCAGTGAAATTTAGCATATTTAAAAGACATATATTCATTTCATCAACGAAAAAATATATATTTTAAAACATGTATTAGGGAGGGACCAGTTGATAAACAGCTGTTAATTTTATTAAAATCCATACATTGTTAGGATATCGATCAGTCTTATCTTTTGACCAGAGATTCAGTGATAAAGATAGAGTTGATAGCAAACTCTGTGATTGAAATAATAATCAATATCTCAAATGGGATAAGAAACAAGTTCTTTCAAAGTATGGATATAGACATATTCGACCTAATGAATTAAACTTGAAATTTGTTTCAGTTATCTCCCTTGCTGGAAAATAAATATTTGTTATGAATCCAGGTATGCTTGTTGTTATTTGTCATAAATGCCATCACAAGTGTTAATTTTTACAAATGATAACCCAAGCACAAATTGGAATCTGAATTCAACCACAAGTTTTGAAATGTGAAATCTTCAAGAGCTTGGTTGAAAGCCACAGTAAGTTAGCATTTATACTTCAATCAAATTTGTAATTGACCTTAGGAGTTTTGATGTTTAAAGAAAACTTTTTTCCGTTATAAAACCATTATACAAAATTGCAAGAGGGAGTACATGACATTTGTATAATTATCACATAGTTATCATATATTTTCAAGTTTAATATAGAAACATGTACAAAAAATGTTTGTTATATACAGGTTTGGTTCAGTGATCATCCCAATTAAAGAACACCTGGTTATACATATCGAACTATCTGTGTTGATACAGAAGGCACATGATCAAACGTCCCCTGGTCTTACCACAGATAAAAAACATATCTGTAAACAAAGTACAAAGCTTTTCATTTCAATATATATCACAACGACAACAAGGCAAAAAGCATTAAACAGGGAAAATTTACATCAACTTTTGTGTGAAATATTTACCATGTAGCTTAATTTTTAAGAATGACTCAAAAGCTGTTGATTTGTGCATTGCTTTTTTACCCATCAATTAATCTAGTCAAAATTGACATTCATACAAATTTCCTTGAGTAAAACGCTTTTAGAAAAGGAGAAAAAAGGAGGAAAATATGTTAGAGCAAAGACGCTTCTCAACATTAACAAAACATGAATGTCTATTGCTACTGGAATGCAGTCAAATTCATCATACAAGAATTGTCCTTTATATACATGTAATGCCGTTCACAGACTTAATGCAAAAATGAAAGAACTAGTACCTTCAAATTTCAAAATAAATTGAAATACATTTATAAAATATGATTAGAGGTAAAAAAAATCTTTTTACATACCTTTTCAAAAATATGGTTAAAATAGATCATTTATCAGTATCACTACAAACTAAAACATCAATACACACCTTCATTTCCAGGGTTGATATCAGGGAGGTTTGATTAGCCTACACCATATCACAAACTTAACAGTATTCATATATCACTAAAGTCCAGTAAGAAAATGCTGCTGTTAATTAATTTCAGAAATTTGTTTGCTTTTCATCGATTATTTTTTTTTACTTTTACGTGTCAATGAATATGAAATGGTGTATAATGAATAAATCATGAATAAATCATGAATTTTACATAAAGTCTACTTTTGTATTGCTGCTTTAGTTTGTCTGATAAATATCTTAAAAAACAGAACAGTAATCATACCGTTTGAGGACTAATTAAAATTTCCTAACAAAAATATTTTAATGATGGAAATATTTCTGCATTTAAACCTAATTTTGAGGATCATTACGACATACATTGTAACCTTTTTTCTTATTTAAACAATATTTACTTGATCCAGTTTACAACTGACATACAACTGCTTATCCTCTCAGGAGTCAGATATAAACAAGATGGAAATATATATATAGTTTTATCTATACACTTAAAAGTATATAAAATATAGAATCTGGCAAAGTATATATATATACATGTAGAAATAATATTTCTATAAATTAGAACATTTATATTCACATGTGTTGTACCTGTGGTTATATATTACTTTATAACCTCAGGTGCAACACATGTAAATTAAATGGTTGTAATTTATAGAAATATTATATCTACATATATAAATATACAATGTATTATATCAGTTTTTATATTATATATACACTAAAGTATATGGATATAAACTATTCCAAACATTAAAAGAAAACAAGTTTAAACTTTTATAGAGTTTTCTTTAAACAACCAACTGATGTCTATTAGTGTCTCACCTACTCCCCTAGTGTTTAATGAATGGCCTGGGAATCGATGTTTGGAGACATCTGTATTATAAATGTATATATGTTTTTCTAGGTCAATTTTATTTATATCTGGCTTATGCAGTTGTAGATATTACATTTAATAAAAACACATGCATTAAAAAAATATTTTAAAATTAATATTTGAACATGTTTTTCATCACGTGTAATTTATATGTTCTTTTGTTCAGCAACAATTTTCAAAAGGACATTAGTACGCAAGTGTTATGGGCAATCAAACTTGTGATATTGTGCTACTATTGTAAATATTAAGAAAATTTGGAAATTAGATCTTTCGTCCATTATGGAAACAAATGTCTTATATAACAAGCATACAACACTTCAAACTTTATCACAGGGCTTTGTTTGTTCACACCGAGGATTTCTGATGAGGTAATTAATGTTTAGTGCAAATTTATTGCAGACAAATATTACCGGAACAATGTTGTTAATTTGTAAACTTGAACAATTTGTTTCTCCAACACGTTACATCTTTACATAGTCTATAGTCATGGAATATGAAATTCAACTATCTGATATATATATAAGCTATTTAACAGTTGTTCTTGTACAGATATGTGAAATCCAACAACAAGTATTAACAGAAAATTGTAACAAGCTGGTCCAAATCTTTTGACGGAATGTTTGTATTTCATGGTATAAAAATACATCCAGGCCAACAGTCGCCAAAATCGAACAAACTTAACGGATTTATGAACATGATTCTGACCTAATATGAATTATTTTCTTCACCATCTGATAAAAAAGGGTCTGTTGTAATTCTTGATCAAAATAATTTGTGTATGATATGAATATATAATACATGTGTAATGAAAATATTCAAATCAGGTTCACCATTTCATGAAAAAACAATTCCGTAAGAAACCATTTTTTGCTGTAAAACTTATGAGACAAATTCTTTACAGTAAGTATTATTGTTAAAAAATCTGTTAACAAATTCTAAAAAAACATTTTTAAAAACATTATAGGAAATCTGATGAAATATAAATTAGATTCTATTTGATCTGAATTAAAGGATACATTCTATTTGTTCTTGATATTTCAAAATTGTAGTTGATTTAAAAAAGAAATATAATTGTCATGGCAAAAAGCACCAAACAAGTAAACGTTCAAATTTCTGTTACAAACCTCATGTAATGTTCCTGTTATTTGTTCTTTTTGTTTGTTAAAATCTTTTTTTGAGCTGAAAACTTATGTATTTATCCATTCCAGAATGTTTGAACCAAAGACAGAAGTTTCCCAGGGTTTCAGTTATTCCAATACAACAAGCAAAAATCTTAGAAAACGCCGATTAATTATGGAATCTGCAATAATGTACAGCAACATGTTTAAAACAAATATAAAAAGAACAGGTATAAAAAGCTTTTCTCATATACAAATTATATACAAACTGTGTTTGGAAATAAAGTCAATGTGTATATACAACAGATTTATTTACAAAACAGCCACGTCCATCAAAACAACATGGTCACATAATCAATAAAAGAACATCATATCTATGACTTTCTTGTAGCCACATATAAATAGCTTTCATCAAAATCAAAGTATACCATTTAACACTGAGATTTCAAAATATCCCAACAAATATATAGGAAGTTTTTGCATCTGTTTCAGAAAAAAACACCACAAGTATTTGTTTTGATAGTTTGAAAACATTAACTGCTAATTATCTGACAGCCTTTCCATAACTGTAATTTTTCTTGTGGAATATTTGTGTTTAAAATTGTTTCTGCAAAGCCAGAAGTCATCAGGAATTACAATATTATATAACATTTCAGTAAAATGTGAAAATGAATGCATAGAAATTTTGAAAAAAAAGTCTTGGTAATGATTTGATCATGATAAGCTACAGTTGTCACTCAACAAGTCATAACTAATTAATCCAGGCTAAATGTAGAAATATAACAGGAAAAAAAAGCATATAAATGTACACAGAAAAATTGTAATAACAATCGTGAGATAAACAAAAATTCAACTTATTCACAGTCAGATACAAACAACAGAGGAATATCAAAGTTTCTTCATCTCATAAACTGACAAAGGAAAAATTGGAACATTATTCACACATATACCTTATAATCAAATTTTCTGAGTGACCTCTGGCCTGAACCTATACTTACATGTCAAAACATCTTTGCTAGCCAAGTGTTCGCTTTGTATAACTCAATTTATGTGTAAGTGGAGTGTATACGAAGCAAACACTTGGCTAGGGAAGATGATGTCCAAAGTAAACAACTTGTATACCATACATGTACATATCCAATACTCGACCCATGTTAGAAACACACAGGCACATTTTGGTTTGACTTCATACCACATATGAGGAAGAAGTTGGAAGCATTTTCACTGGTTAATAGAATGACCCATGACCTTTAAAAGAGCTGTGACCAGACAAAAAGTACATCACACTAGTTCATGAAGTCTAACTCTATGTACTGGTTTTCACCGTGATGTTTTCATTCACAATATATTTGCTCATGGTCAAAAACAGACATGTCTACATGACTTTTATGATATAAAGAGGTTGGTTATCATGTTGATTGATAAATTCACCGTAATCTAATAATTCAAAAATTAACTCGAACATGACAACCAATTAATTATCTTACATCGGGAATATCTATGCATGACGAGAAATATCCACATCTCCATTTTAAAGGAAAAACGTTGGAACTCAGTGTCATTAGTTTCCTAACTTTTTCATTATCTTTGCTATAAAGACACAAAATCAGCACTTAAAAAGCTTATTATTAAGCTTTGTGAAATTTGTGTAATATATTTTTATGGTTCTCAAACGTTTGTTAAGATATGTTTCGTGCTGTTTATTAGTTCACAGGAGGGCACTTGTTACCAAACAAATCAACTTCAGATAAAAAAAAAATCAATTTTGAAATTAGGCTTTTAATCATCATGTCATTTAAAAAGATGTTGACACCTATATGAACTACTATGAACATTAACAGACAATTGTAGCTAGTTGGAATTATCCTCCACAGCTTTCGAATTTTAATTTGAGCAAAATTCATTGACGATTCAATAATGAAAATTTTGATATTAATATTTTGTTTTTTGATATTGCTAAATGAAAGGTGATATTTCAGGCAACTGAATTTCTGTAATGCCCATGATTATGACAATCGCTTTTTTTTAATGATATTTTTTGAGACATAATTTTGAGCACAAGAAAAAGAAATGGAAGGGATTTTTTGGTGAAATTATGAATATTATGCAAACAATTACCACACAAAAAAAAGGTACAAAAACAAAACAGTGACTTGATGTGGGTTTGATAAATAGTGTAGGTTTCAACGTTAGTTTTTAACAAGTTAATAGTATTTTGAATACAAATCAGTGTGAAATTAAATGCATCCGTGCTATGAATATGATTAATATAAAAATTGATAAGAGTTCATTCCTGTGACTATTGTATTCACTTTTGCTGTTAATTGATATAATATGCAAAAACACTTGAGATCTCCTGTATATACCTAACAGTTAAATAAGGCAAAAATATGGCACCAAGAGGATGGACAGACAATCCTCCATACTGAAACTTAAATCATCAAATAATGCTAAAAATGTTGTTGTCACCCTTTTAATTAAAATAAAAATCATTTTATACAGATGATGGAAATGCCGTATGATAAAGGAAATTAAACTCCTTTTTCAAATTATGACTGAGGATCATTGTAATATGTAAAGACTGACAAGTTTCTTGCATAATTATTTTTGGACGGTATGATGGTATAAGGCAGACAATTGTATCTTGAACTTTACAGAATTACTTCCCTTACTATGATTTCTCATTAAAAAAAGATTTCAAAAAACCAACATATTTATGTATCATTAGTATAACATTTTGCAAACATTTTCGCTCAAACTGTACAATGTATATTTTTGATACTTATGTTTGATGGCTCCAAAAAAATGATAAGTGAAAATATAATATTTCATTCAGATATATATTTTGGTGCTTTGTGCAAAGCAGAACACATGTATAAAAATTACTCGACATCTCTTTTGTCCTAGCCAATTTGATTTTGTTTGCTTTTGGGGGACGATATAAAAATTGACAGTTAACAGTTGTATATGTAATTCTGTTGATCAAATATTCTAAAAACCAAAACAATATAAAAAGTTTTATCAGAAAATATCACTTGTGAAACTGCCTTCCATTTTTTCTACCAGCCCTGCCATGAGAATGTTTTTTTCTTTAACAGATTCATTTTTCATTATTTACTTCAAGAATATTTTTGATTTCAGAGTCCTGTATACAAAAGAATTACCAATTTTTCATATTGCTATCAATTTTTAACTCCCTAAAAATGGAAAACAGCAACATTACCAGAAACCACTCAAATTCACTTGAGGAATAAACTTAATACATGTATTTCCAAAAGGTCATGGCCATCACCATCACCTTCTAGTCTTTAGTTTCCTCTTCAATGAAAATGTTAAACCACAGCCCTTCCTGTCATCTGTAACTCGATTATAGGGAGCATGTGTCAGCCTAGTGTCAAACCATTGTCATCAACATCTCTCAACAACTCACTCCACGTATTGATGGGTAACTTCAATTTGAGTAAATAACTTTCCCTCCCAAGAGTCTGATCAATCTTGGAGAATTGCGATTCCTGGCGTCCTACTATAGGTCAGGTGGAATCAACCCTGGATCTGTACGCTGAGGCAGAGACTTACTCATCACACAGTTTTCACATATGATCACATCATATAAATTATATTCACATGACTCTTCTCTTATGATCACATGATCTTATTTTCACGATCACAAGACTCTTTACCTCTGATCACATGACTGAATTTTTGATCACATGACTCCTTACTTACTGACAGGTGTGTCTGACCTTCCATCATTATCACATGAATCGCTCTCGGAAACAGAGAGTGAACTTGAAGTTCGTAAGCTATCCAGATCATCACGAAAATAGCTGTGTTGTAGTGCTGACCGAGCACTTAATCGACTATGTGGATTGAATTGAATTAATTTCTGCAAAGGAAAGCAAGAATATTAAGTAATATATAATTCTAATGTTAGATTTTATCTGATGATACCCTTCTCATACATTGTTTATAGTATTATATAGTAAAAATGAAGTAAAACATGTTTGTAACAACCTCAAAGGACCCCAAACTAAGCCCAGTAAATCTGTCTATGTCATTTGAAAATATTGTTTTTCAGTGATGTGAAAATATGACGGAAATAATAATAAGTATTGCATACACTAAGAACTAAGCACACAAAATAATATTCTCACAAATGTTTCCAAAACAAATTTTATAATGGCAACATTGCTCCTCACCTCCAGAAGGTCTTTCCCATCCGGGTCTATCTCTGGGATGAGCTGTTCCAGAGATTGAGGCGCCAGTGGTTTAAAGGAGTTCCATGGCAATGTAACACTCTCTGGCCAATCTTCCTTTGATGGTAGACCAAGCACCCTAAACAAAAACAAAGGGAAGAGGTTAACTATGTATTCTTTTGTACAGTTCTACGATATCTTTATTAAAGTACATGTGTTAATGAGTTTTGTACACAAAAAATAACAATGAAATACATTTATTGATCATTCATTAAACATTCTTCTCAATATCATTTGTTAACAGTGTTATATGGCAAAGCAATCTACAGAAGAAAAAAAATTCTAAATATGTCATCCCTGAGTAATTTGATGAAAATTCATGTTTGGTTTTTCATTTTCTAAAGTTTATGACAGAAGAATTCTCTTTTAACTGTGATAAATACATTGTACACATAAGAACATGAAAACACCTACAATGCATTTATTTTAATTAATGGTTCAGTCACATTTTGCCAGGTGATTTAGAAATTATTTACTTACTCAAATATTTTTGACAACTGATTGATATCCGAGTCCCCGCAAAACAATGGTCTGCAAATGGAAATAACACAATAATTACGTGTAATTATTACAGAATCACAAAATGAACAATTACCATATTTACGCAATCATGATAGTACTGTATTAACAGAACAACAAAATGTGTTTTATTACAAAAATATGTTTACCATTCTTATCAAAGATTTTCATTTATTATTATTACAATAATTATTGATACACATAACATTTAAGAGGCATATATACATGTACAGGCAACACAATCCGTGAAGTGTTGGACAAGCCTTACCATACATTTCCTGTGGGTACCTCGGTATGTGAGTGTGTTGGAGGTTATACATGTACAAGCAACACAATCGGTGAAGTGTTGGACCAGCCTTACCATACATTTCCTGTAAGTACCTCGGTATGTGAGTGTGTTGGAGGTTATACATGTACAGGCAACACAATCGGTGAAGTGTTGGACCAGCCTTACCATACATTTCCTGTAAGTACCTCGGTATGTGAGTGTGTTGGAGGTTATACATGTACAGGCAACACAATCGGTGAAGTGTTGGACCAGCCTTACCATACATTTCCTGTAAGTACCTCGGTATGTGAGTGTGTTGGAGGTTATACATGTACAGGCAACACAATCGGTGAAGTGTTGGACCAGCCTTACCATACATTTCCTGTAAGTACCTCGGTATGTGAGTGTGTTGGAGGTTATACATGTACAGGCAACACAATCGGTGAAGTGTTGGACCAGCCTTACCATACATTTCCTGTAAGTACCTCGGTATGTGAGTGTGTTGGAGGTTATACATGTACAGGCAACACAATCGGTGAAGTGTTGGACCAGCCTTACCATACATTTCCTGTAAGTACCTCGGTATGTGAGTGTGTTGGAGGTTATACATGTACAGGCAACACAATCGGTGAAGTGTTGGACCAGCCTTACCATACATTTCCTGTAAGTACCTCGGTATGTGAGTGTGTTGGAGGTTATACATGTACAGGCAACACAATCGGTGAAGTGTTGGACCAGCCTTACCATACATTTCCTGTAAGTACCTCGGTATGTGAGTGTGTTGGAGGTTATACATGTACAGGCAACACAATCGGTGAAGTGTTGGACCAGCCTTACCATACATTTCCTGTAAGTACCTCGGTATGTGAGTGTGTTGGAGGTTATACATGTACAGGCAACACAATCGGTGAAGTGTTGGACCAGCCTTACCATACATTTCCTGTAAGTACCTCGGTATGTGAGTGTGTTGGAGGTTATACATGTACAGGCAACACAATCGGTGAAGTGTTGGACCAGCCTTACCATACATTTCCTGTAAGTACCTCGGTATGTGAGTGTGTTGGAGGTTATACATGTACAGGCAACACAATCGGTGAAGTGTTGGACCAGCCTTACCATACATTTCCTGTAAGTACCTCGGTATGTGAGTGTGTTGGAGGTTATACATGTACAGGCAACACAATCGGTGAAGTGTTGGACCAGCCTTACCATACATTTCCTGTAAGTACCTCGGTATGTGAGTGTGTTGGAGGTTATACATGTACAGGCAACACAATCGGTGAAGTGTTGGACCAGCCTTACCATACATTTCCTGTAAGTACCTCGGTATGTGAGTGTGTTGGAGGTTATACATGTACAGGCAACACAATCGGTGAAGTGTTGGACCAGCCTTACCATACATTTCCTGTAAGTACCTCGGTATGTGAGTGTGTTGGAGGTTATACATGTACAGGCAACACAATCGGTGAAGTGTTGGACCAGCCTTACCATACATTTCCTGTAAGTACCTCGGTATGTGAGTGTGTTGGAGGTTATACATGTACAGGCAATACAATCGGTGAAGTGTTGGACCAGCCTTACCATGCATTTCCTGTAAGTACCTCGGTATGTGAGTGTGTTGGAGGTTATACATGGACAGGCAACACAATCGGTGAAGTGTTGGACCAGCCTTACCATGCATTTCCTGTAAGTACCTCGGTATATGAATGGGTTGGACGGTGAAGTGTTGGACCAGCCTTACCATACATTTCCTGTGAGTACCTCGGTATGTGAGTGTGTTGGAGGTGATACATGTACAAGCAACACAATCGGTGAAGTGTTGGACCAGACTTACCATACATTTCCTGTAAGTACCTCGGTATGTGAGTGTGTTGGAGGTTATACATGGACAGGCAACACAATCGGTGAAGTGTTGGACCAGCCTTACCATGCATTTCCTGTAAGTACCTCGGTATGTGAGTGTGTTGGAGGTTATACATGTACAGGCAACACAATCGGTGAAGTGTTGGACCAGCCTTACCATGCATTTCCTGTAAGTACCTCGGTATGTGAGTGTGTTGGAGGTTATACATGGACAGGCAACACAATCCGTGAAGTGTTGGACCAGCCTTACCATGCATTTCCTGTGAGTACCTCGGTATGTGAGTGTGTTGGAGGTTATACATGTTGTCAAGTGTTATGCTCCTTATGGGTCCATATTTCTAACAACTCATTTATTTATATTGCTACCACTTGAATACTACGGCACAAAAACCAAATATCTTACACAGATCATACTTTAATCCACACCAGAGAGAGAGAGCTGATGTCCAAGGGGAAAGTGTCTATATCAGAACTAACCACATTGTCTACAGGAACCAAACCTGCGACCTTACAGTCAAAAGGCTGGTACACTACCAACGGTACTGTGTAACTCTAAATAGTTGTGTTACAATATCTCCACGGTTGACTCATATACACTGTAATATTTATCAAGGTTTAGCTCTGGTCTATATAGTATAGAGATTGCATGATACAGCTTGTTTATTTGTGCTGGGTGTAACGCCCTTGCAACAGCCAGGGTCATATGAGGATATGGCATCGCAGTACATGGATCACAATTTGGAAGATATCACATTTGTAAATTACTCTATTTTTGTGAATACTTACCTCCCCCATGTGCTTTTCGAGAAATCAAATTCATGACAGAAAATATAGCTTATGTGTGTGTTTAAATCTATATACATTTTGAATTTGTGATTTGATATACATCAGTTACTGGATGGCAGTTTATTAGAGAACCAAAATCTAATGTAAATTCTCTGCTTGTAGATCAATTCTTATAACCCTGTAAATTTAACCTGTATTCCTATGTTAATTGAAAACCTCTTTATTCTGAAAACCTTCCCACACAGAAAAGAAACATTGGTCCACATTTCAGTTTAATAGACAAGTTTCACTGTACTAAAGTAAACAAATTAATTTTTGCTATTTGATTTGCCAACTATTTTACCTTCTATTGAAGAGTTCCACAAATATACAGCCACAACTCCAAATGTCAACAGGTGTGGCATACGCTGCCTGAAGTATGACCTCCGGTGCTCTGTACCACAGTGTCACCACCTACAACACAATTTTATATCTATTTATATCTTCTCTCAATCTTGTTTGTTGCTTGCAAAGTAATGACCCTTAGTATGCACAGCAGCCATTACCTACTTGTATTACAATCCCTACAGAAGTATGTTTTACATGCATTGACTCACACAACCTACAGCTTTGAGTCCTATCCATGGGCCTATTCTTAAATAGAGCAATTGAAACACAGCATGACTTTAAATTCTTCATGAACAATTATTCATGTGAAGGTGCTTATGCTTTGAGATAAAGGACATAGGACATTGAGTCCTATTCCAGAGATTATTCTAGTAATTAGTCATTAAGACATTAAGTTAACTGAGGGACTGTTCTTGTAAAGAATCATGGGGTTTATTGGGTGTTTTTTGTACCTATCCTAAACTGTTTTTCAGTAATTTATATTTATATAAACTTTATAAAAAAAATGCAAATTTTTTATTTTTATAACCTCCCTACTCTTAATTTTTTCACACATGTAACATTATTAATTATTTATGTTATTTTGTTTGGTCTTACCACTGATGTGAGAGCCATCTGAAAGCCATACACCCTGGCAAGTCCGAAATCGGCAAGTTTGAGTTGTCCCTGCCCAGTGACCAGGATGTTCTGTGGTTTGAGGTCGCGGTGTACTATTCTATGAGCATGCAGAAAGTCGACACCATTCAGCAGCTGATACATCAGGTCCTGGTTACCAAATACAAAGATTTCAATTATTTCATAGATAGAACAACAACATTTTAGTCAAACTTGCTTACAATACGGCCATATTTTTATCTACTGGTTAGGAAGGATTGCATTAACACTAACACTGTTCGTACTCCACCTGATCTAAGAAGAAAATGGTTTAATTCTAAACTCCTCTTACCCTCACTGGATTGATCTCCCTTTTGATAATCTCACGACACTCGTGCAACACAAATGAATTGTAAATTGATACTTAAATAGGACAATTAAATAAACTGGTTTTAGTCCGGTAAACATATTTACGCAGCATACCAGCTGGTATATGTTTTGAAAAAAAAATGAAAAAAATCCATGATTTCAATATACATGTAGATCAACTAATATAAGCTTAGTTGATATATTTTTATCAAATATACAACAAAAGCCGAGATGCACCAGGAAGATATTCCAACAAGAGTTGTCTAACCTTGATCCTGTCTGGTCCGAGTCCTGGAGATGGACAACCTTCTAGGTATGAAGAAAGGTCCTGGTCTATGTACTCAAACACCAGCATGAGTCGGATCTCACTTGCCGTGGCCTGGGAATGCCGAACATCCAGTAACCTGTTACAAAAAAACAGTAGAAGTAATACATCATTGGCAGTCTTCCATATTCATTAGCAAATTACACGAAAATACAACATGTACAAGTAGTCAACGAGTTTTAAAAGACACGTCGACATAAGTCAGATGATTTGAGCTAGCCGAGACTGTGTAATCAATAGTTCAGGAAAGAACTAGTGTTACATTTAAGTGTGACCTATCCAATCATACTGATTTGTTCAATAAAATATTTTGAAATCAAATTTTATTCACTTTACAGCTCATTAATATTTGGGAGGTATGTAAAGTTTACAGTTTATTTTAATATTTGAAGGGAGGTAACACCATGTTAAATATGTAGGTAAGCCAATGTATGTTACACACCAATTGATGCATGTCAAAAATATGACAACCAATCCTTAATATAAGTAGCCCTTGAAGTAGATATTTATACCTATTCCTGGTAAGGTGTTCTGGTAGTGTTACGTTTAATTGAAGTTCCTCAGGTGCATGGTGTATATGCCATTGAATAAATAACCTTGGGTTTATATGTGTTGAGAACAAAACCTTTTCCTGGTAAAACTATCTTTAATCACAGAATAGGGTTTGACACTAACTTCATTTATTGTAAAGATATAGCATGCAGGTCTTAACCAGGGAAATTTTTCAAGAAGTCTTGATAAATTGTGGTAGCCCAAGGCTTAGCAAGGCAGGAATAGGTTAATAGAAAGAATTGCACTAAAGCCTAGGACAATTTGAAGCATTGATGCAAACTTCTACATTCTAGTGCATCTTTGACATGAAATTTCAACAAAATATTGGTAAACTCCTGGTCACCTGGATTAACACTGTAGTTAACTCTCAGTGACAAATAATCAAAGAAGCAAGACTACGATAATAACTCTACTGACCGAAGTAAAAATTCTTCCAATACATAATATATAATACATAGAAATTATAATTAACATATAGCTGCTGTGTGCAAAGTTGTAAATCTGCAGTGGTTTAAGAATTTTGATCATTTACGGGGATATTAAATATAACCGGGCATATTTCACTGTAGACAGTTATGATTTACATAACATTAATTTAAATCCTGTGTACAGATGTCCCCTGTTATGATGTGTGACAATGAAATTCTTCACCAAAATTGATTTTGTTGATTTATAAACTCTGTATTTACAAAACACAGACTGCCAATTTGAACAGCACAAAGAGCCGCTGTTGGTTATTGACATTCCAGGTGTGACACCCAGGTTCCTTGCCCTATGGAACTTACAACGAATCATAAAATACCTCATTTTTATACAAGTATTTTTCATAAACATGCCAATGTATATATAGTATAGGTACTGTATTCAAATCTTTCATTCATTTTAATATTGATAAACTTGAGGTATTTAAATCCACCCAGTAACCGTGCACCATGTAAGATATAAATAGATCGTGGAAGTACACATTTAAATGTCTAGATATATAAACTGTATACCAAAGTCCTTTGGTACATGTAAATTGGAATTTTATTCATACCATTTCCTTGCATATACAGGTATACACAGGTAGATATTGTGAATTCATTATCACAGGAGATATAAGCACTTTGTAGGCCGACACTGTACAAACAATCACATATCTAGCATTTTTCTGCCACGCCAACAACTAATGGTCCACAATGACAGTGACGCAGACATTGACGTTTTGACCTCAAATCAAACTGAAATCAATCAATTGATTGTATACATATATAGATTGCAATCATTTACAGGTAGATTGCAAACTTAAGTAACCGACAGGTAGAGAGAGATAAATTAAACTTCATTTATTCTGAATGCATTTCTATCATTTTCATTCCATTCCTGTCAAAATATTTAAATCAATCTTTAAATGAATTTCTAATTCATTTTTTGGCTTAAAACAAAAAGTTTAGTAATTTTCATTTAAAAAAATAATTACAAACAGATCAAGAAGAATACCCTGTCTTAGGTCCCCAACTATTTCAATCAATAGTAATCAATATAGTACTACAGAAGTCTACCCACCACCCACCTGTCAACCTAGCAACATGTCAACAAGCCTGCAGTCGCTAAGGGATTACCGTGTGACCTTTTAAATGTGTATTGCAATCATCGTATACTATAAGCCTACTGCAGACTTTAGCCTACCAATTAAGTTTAAAATTTGTGAATGAAGTAAAATCATATAAAGTCTTGTTTAACATTCATACTTATAGTGCCAATAGACGAGGTGAAGGATTACAGATTATACCTGCCTTATCTTAATTACAATGCCGCATACATGTACCAGAATACAGAATACAGGCTATAATTTGCTATGTATATACATTAATCGTACACAAGGGCTTAAGATATTTTACAGAGTGTGAATGTTTACAAAAGCTATTAAAAAGTCACAGGTGGTTTTGAATTTTAAAACACTCCTGAAAGATTTTGTCTACACCAGTGTCTGGTGTTGGATAAAGCGTTCAACAACCTATTAAATACTTATATCTTTATATCTTTAACCACATCGAGGATTTGGTTTGAGTGTCCTTCAAAAATATGGCACTCAATCAATTTTAACACCTATAATGAAGAACCTTANAGGGTGAGATTGTCCAAGGTGAGAATGTTGTTTAAGTGAAACTTTAACTAAGTACTAGAAAAGTGGATTGTGCTACCCCTGCAGAGTCAATGTAAGATATCGTGAAATGAGATTAACAGAACAAGCTAATGTTTTACCATTTCTGCTCTGTCATAGCTAGTTAACTTGGTTCAAATTAATTTTGCATGTTACCGATAAAATTTTGGTATCAAAGTCTTGTTTTCATTGAACTTTGCATCAATACCTTAAAAGCTGTTAACCCTTTCACCCCCATGTAACTTTAGTAGACTCTACAGTCATGTACGATATATCTAAATTTATGCAACTAAGATCTTTTCAAAAATATTTTACTGTCCTGTAGAAATTTACTGTGTGATTATCATGTGTCATTTATCCTGGCACCCTCCCGTTGTGTATCCAACAATCTGTTATCTTTATCTCTTGTTTTTCTTTCCTGAAATCCTTCATTCATAGTCAATGTAAACAACAACGATAAAGAATGATGGAACATTGCTCAACAGTGTTCTTGAACCCCGGATCATCGAGATAAGTTTGTTTAACATAAATAACAGTGTGCCATTTGCACAGAATTCTAGAACCCCAGATCGTTGTGATAAGTGATTCAGTAAAACCCCTGGACAAGTCCAAGTCTCTGGGGTAAATGATGTTATTCTAACAAAAACAATGTATTGGAGAGCACCATTAGAATAGAATAAGTAAGAGTTGTGTGTGTGTGTGGAGGGGGGATTAATCTAGATGTTCAGTCTTCCAACTAGTTTATTTGTTGTGAAAATTAAAATGAAGGACCAGTAATGGAGCTTTAAGAACTTATTAGAGAGACTACTTTAGGACAGGCTCCAAGTTTGATTTGTAGAGTGATGAGCGTTTTTCTTAAAATGATTAATGTGTTCTATCATAGCATTTTTAGGTACATATTCAGAGCGAAATTGGCAAGAAACAGACTGAAAACAATTTTAAATGTACAAAAAGAAAAGACTGTCGAAAAGAGATTAACACTAAAGATGCAGATTATTGAATTCTTCATTATAATATAATTATTATAAAGCGTGAAAACAGTTTCATTTACTATAAATACTGAGGTGCATTAAAGCTTGTTCGTATTCTTCATGTGTTTGCTGTATACTGAGAGCTGAAATGCAGTTGAATGAACAGCTGATGTGTACACTGTGGTACTGCAGAGTGAAGGGATGGTGTGTACACTGTGGTACTGCAGAGTGACGGGATGGTGTGTACACTGTGGAACAGCAGAGTGACAGGATGGTGTGTACACTGTGGTACTGCAGAGTGAAGGGATGGTGTGTACACTGTTATACTGCAGAGTGAAGGGATGGTGTGTACACTGTGGTACTGCAGAGTGAAGGGATGTTGTGTACACTGTGGTACTGGAGAGCGACAGGATGGTGTGTACACTGAGGTACTCCAGAGTGAAGGGATGGTGTATGTGTACACTGTGGTACTGGAGAGTGACAGGATGGTGTGTACACTGTGGAACTGCAGAGTGAAGGGATGGGTTGTACACTGTGGTACTACAGAGTGCAGGGATGGTGTGTACACTGAGGTACTCCAGAGTGAAGGGATGGTGTATGTGTACACTGTGGTACTGGAGAGTGACAGGATGGTGTGTACGCTGTGGTACTGCAGAGTGAAGAGATGGTGTGTACACTGTGGTACTGCAGAGTGAAGTGATGGTGTGTACACTGTGGTACTGCATAGTGAAGGGATGTTGTGTACACTGTGGTACTGCAGAGTGAAGGGATGGTGT